CAACATCTGGGGGCCGAAAGAGTCAAAAGAGCTGATAGCTTTTGGCAATGATCCACCTAACCCTTTACTGACTAGGTTCGAGAGGCAACAAGAAACGTCCTGAAAACGGGTTAAAGAAGGAGCTGCTCAGAGACCAAACATTACTAAATATTTTTTCCTTTTTTGGGTTGGTGCTCTAGATCACCACTTCCTGGAGATTATATTCTAAACTTGCCGTGATGGATGCAAGGTCCGCGTGCCCACGAGCTCCAGCGGAACCCAGATGTCATCCTGAGGGAGGGACTCTGCTTTTACCTTGCTATTTTAAGCATCGAGTTTATAATAATGGATGGGAGAGAAAGCAATGGGGCAGGAGCAGCGTGAGAATGGCCTGGGTGGGCGGGGCTGCTGGGTCTCCCCCTGGAGAACTCAGGGATCCATCCTGTCAAGTGTGAGACCTCAGCCAGCCTCCACTCTGCTTTATCCTGCAGGAGCTGACACCTCTTGGTGTTTGTCTCAATTTGTTTCTGTTTTACTTTGTTCTTTGACCCAGGGACTGACTGAAGGTCTTTCTTAAGGAGCAGGAGGTAAAGGAAAGGAAGTAGAGATATTTCTGATGCAGCTCTGGAATACCGTGGCCCTAGAATCCTATGGGATGGGTCCCTCCGGTCTGTGGTTTGCTGTCATTAGGAGGAGTTCAGGATTTCAGGGAGTCCTAGGGTTGGAGAAAGCCCCTGAAGTAGGTTAGAAATCTTATGACCCTTGCCACAGCCTTTGATGAGACTCTCCCAGGAAGGGGAGCTCGCTACTTTAAAGAGCAGCCCATTTCATGTTCTGATGGTTCCAACTACTAGAAAGCTTTTCCTTGCCTTGATCTCACCTTTCTGTCACTGGCCATGCATCTACCCTTTGGAGACAATAGAACTGCGTGAATGGCTTTCAGGTATCTGCAAATAGATTTTATTTCTTCCTGTACCAGCTCTTTTCCAGGCTAAAGGTCATTAGTTCTTTTTTTATGACTTTTTTATGTGGACAACTTTTAAAGTCTTTATTGAATTTGTTAAAATATTGTTTCTGGTTTTTGTTTTGCTTTGACCACTAGGCTTATGGGATCTTAACTCCCCGACCAAGGATCAAACATGCACCCTTTGCATGGAAGGTGAAGTCTGAATCATTGAACCACCAAGGTCCCTTTAATTCTTTAAACATAAATTATTGTCCTGCTTCCCCTTTTTTGAATATACCCCGCATTGTCTGAATCTCTCTTAGCATGCAAAGCACGATACACTTCATGTAGATTAAGACAAAAGAAAAGTGAAACTGTTACCTCCCCTGTTTTGAAAACTATACTGTTAAGACAGCCTGGAGACCTGCATACACATGGCATATCATTTAAAAAGCTTTCCTGGGACATGTAGTCCACTTTGCGGGTAGAACTGGGGCATGTGGATATTTTTCTGCTGCCCTCAACCCTGCTACTCTATACTTTACCCAGCACTACCATTGTCCCTCGGCTTCCCTGGCGGCTCAGATGGTAAAGAATCCACCTGCAACGTGGGAGACCTGGGTTCAATCCCTGGGTTGGGAAGATCCCCTGAGGAGGGCATAGAAACACACTCCAATATTCTTGCCTGGAGAATCCCCACGGACAGAGGAGCCTGGCGGGCTACAGTCTGTGGGGTCGTAAAGAATCGGACATGACTAAGCGACTAAGCACAGCATAGCACTGCTGTCCCTGCTGCTGAAATCCAAGTCGAGGTGATAGAAATTCATCACAGAGCTCACCTTTGGGCAAACCTGTTGCTCAATTTACTTATACAGAAACCATTTGGGCTGGGAGACACAGCATACCCTGGTCCCATAGCTCTTGTTCCCAAAAGTCAGGTTAAATCTGTCCTCTTGGCAATGACCACCTTCCTGTCTCACCTCCTCCAGCTATTCTGTTCAGAGAAATTTCATCAGCATTTCAGTATTTATGGCTCAGTCTAAACACCATTGCTAATGTGAAATCTTCCTTAAAATGGTATTCCACTCATCCCAATTTCCCGAGTTAGGGACCCTTTTCTGGGAAAGCATCTCACTTTCAAAGGATTTACCCTGTTTATCTTGTTTTCTGGCTGTCTCCCCCCACAGGATTCCATGCTCCTTTTGGGCCAAGACCACGTCTTCATCCTCATGGTAGAGTAGATGCGAGTGGAGTGTTCGTGGTGAAGGAGGTCAGCTCACAGGTCCTGTACTTGAGATTTCTTGAGCCGACCAGCAGGGGTCACCCCAACTGTTTCAGAGTTGAATGGGGTTCCCTGTGCAGGGTAGAGAAAGGCAGAAGTCAAGATGGTGGTCACAAGGACTAAAACTCCCAGAGATAAAGTTCCCCAATTCTTAAAATACAAGGCAACATGGATTTCTGGGTATCTGTGATCAATTGATACCTGTGGTATCGTGATCTGGGTATCTGTGATCCCCTTGCCTGACTCAGGAAGCTCGGTTGAGTTGTGTGTTGAGGGGGGGGGGGGGGGGGGCGTCAGTAAGAGCTGCGGTTGATGCCACATCTAGGCCATCCCATAGCACAGTGACTCTAGCGCCTTCCTGAGCCCTTTCTTGGGACAGGTGGGACAAGAAGAACTCCTGGTGTTGTGGGTGGTGGCAGGGCCTTCTGGCTCCTCCTCCTGTAGTCTCCAGCAGACAGCACCTTGCAGGACCTGGCACATAGTAAGCACTCAGTAAATAACAGTGTTTTCCGTTTCCCCTGTGTGTCCCAGCAGCTCCTGACTGTGGCCTTGGCCAGGGTCTGAGGATGACATCTGCCTCTGGTGGTTTTTATCTGCTGTCCCCCAGAGCAGCTCCTTCAAGGAACCCCTGAAGTTGTATAATCAGACTGGTTGTTGGTTCTTTGGGTCTCTGGAGGCGTTCCTCACCCTCCAGGGCAGGGGACCTGAAGGAGTTTAGGGATGAGAAGAGGCCAGGTAGAGGCTCCTGGGCTCAAGCCAAGCTTCTGGACCGCAGACCAGCATGCAGGTGGCCTCTGTAGGCACCTACTCCATGCTGAGTGAGCTTTCTTTTCATCTTGGGACTATTCTGCATGGGAGGCATTCTGTCTTTGTTCCCTGATGAGGAAACCAAGGCTCAGAGGTGAAGCCAGGCTTCAAGGCTAAGCAGCCGGTGAGGGGCAGAGTGGAGCCTCAAATCTAGATATCTGGTTCCCAGCCTGTGTTCCTTCTACCTTGCTGTCCTGCCTCTCCAGATGGAGACCTGAGATGACTGGTCCCCTTTTCTAAGAGGAATCAGAGGAGCCAGACCCATTGACTCAGGTTTATTGCCAGATCTTGGTCCTACACCTCTTAACAGCAAGGAAATATGAAAGTGCAGTTAGTACTTACAAGTAACAGTAGTTAGTAGTTAAAAGTAAACCCAACTCAAACTGGTTTAAACACTGAGACTTAATTCTTTGTGTAACTGGATAATTAAGAAATAGTTTCAGCTGCAGGTGAGCTTTGACCAGGGCTCCAGCTCTGTTTCTCTGCAGATCTCCTGGCTCTGCTTTCCTCTAGGTGTCAAGTTTTCTCCTCAGTCTGGCCTTCCTCATGGAGGCAAAATGGCATCCATAGCACCAGACCTGCACACTCCACCACCCAGAGCAACAGAGAGCATCTGGGTCCCAGAACACTGCTGCGTGCTCCTTGGCTTATTCTGGATCTATTGTCTAGCCTTGAGCCAATCACTGGTGAGATGGATGAGATTATGCTGACTGGGGTCAACCCCAACCAGGTGTCAAGGCTGCTACCCCATGGGGGAGGGTTCAGTTCAGTTCAGTTACTCAGTGATGTCCAACTCTTTGTGACCCCATAAACTGCAGCACGCCAGGCTTCCCTGTCCACCACCAACTCCAGGAGCTTGCTCAAACTCATGTCCATCAAGTCAGTGATGGCATCCAACCATCTCATCCTGTGTCACCCCCCTTCTCCTCCTGCCTTCAATCTTTCCCAGCATCAGGGTCTTTTCCAATGAGTCAGTTCTTCGCATCAGGTGGCCAAAGTATTGGAGTTTCAGCTTCAGCATCATTCCTTCCAACAAATATTCAGGACTGATTTCCTTTACAATTGACTGGTTTGATCTCCTTGCAGTCCAAGAGATTCTCAAGAGTCTTCTCCAACACCGCAGTTCAAAAGCATCCATTCTTCGGTGCTCAACTTTCTTTATTTTTTTTCTTTCTTTTCTTTTCAATTGATTTTTTCAGAGAGCTGAAGGAAAAGGGGAGGGCTAAGTGTGGCTTTGGGGCAGCAACACAAGGTTGCTGGGGTTGTGCACTGCACAAGGCACACGAGATCCACTCTGGCTGAGCCTCCAGAATCATGACTATAGCAGAGTCCTGGCAGGTCCAGTGAGGGCTGTTCCTCAACCGAGAATCAAAATTGCTGCTGAAGGGCATGAGGTGAGGCATGGGGCAGGAAGTCAGGAGACACCATCCCTTCCTCCTCCTGCATCTAACCAAGCAAGGTTGTAAGATATACTGGCCACCAAATCAGGAAGATCTTGATTCAAATGGTTGGTCTTTGTATGATTTGGGCAAGTGGCTTCCACTCTCCAAATAGTTCTCTCATCTATAAAATGCAAATAGTAATGCCTACAGCATGAGGATTAAATTAGGTGATGTTTGTAATGTTCCTAGATAATGCCTAACACCCAGTAGCTGCTCAATAAATGGCTGACAAACACAAGTCTGGTTCCCATTGGAGTGTCTTCCATCGGTTATGGCTTCGAGTAGTTCAAAGCATCCTTCTGGGATGGCTGTTTCCTGTACAGCCTAAATTAGATGCAAAATCTCTAAGGTCGCCTCTGACTTTGTAAACAGAGCGAAAGAGCAGGAGGAAATGCAATTCCAAATGCCCTCTGCTCGCCTATTTTAGCCCTTGTTGATGCAAACTCAAGCAGGCGCTCTCTGCGGTTTGTGGCTCCTGGAAACGGGACCCGGCATGGGTCAGGGATGGGACTGGATTTGACTTGTCCTTTTGGCGTCTCCTCAGCCTGTGGAGCCCAGGCCTCTTGGAGCATCTTTGGGGCTGACGCAGCGGAGGTTCCGGGAGCACGCAGTCACTCCCGCCAGGAGGCTGCCATGCCCCACATTCCCGAGGACGAGGAGCCCCCCGGAGAGCCACAGGCAGCCCCGAGCCCCGCCGGCCAAGTAAGTGCCCCCTCCCTCCCTGCAGCTTGCCTGGCCGGGCCATGCCAAGTGCCCTGGGCTGAGGCCGTAGGGTGTGCCACCAGCCTTTGCAGGCGGCAGTGGGCCTGGGGAAGGTGTGTGGCTTCCACACCAAGGAATAAACTATCCAAAGGTCATTGAGTTGGTCCCCACATACCCTGAGAGTGGAACCTCCTAGGCTGTGTCTGACTGAGGTCTCCTGGGAAGTCACACTGCCCTCCTAGGATGGAGAGATACCTGGAGGAGAACCACCAGCACGGAGGGCCTTGTCCTGTCAGGGCTATGGGCACCAGCATAAGGTCACTTAAACTGAATCCTCTTAAAATGAAGATCAAAGTTTCTTAGTAAATAGGGGAAAAGGGTGTCAGTAAGATTTTATTATAAAAAAAGGAAATGAAGAGAGTAAATTGAAAGGTTTCATTGAGTTTGAACTGTACAAATGATATTGTGAAGATAAATTTTTAATCAAGCATATCACAAAATATAGCTTATATGCTAATTTTTAGAGAGAACAGAGAATTAATCAAGTATGTTGATTTTTGTATTACATATTTTTTATGCCAATGAAGTGATCTGTTCACGTGCTGTCACAACCTTTACGTTTTACTTTATAGCACCTTCATTAAGAGATTCTGCTTGTTTGATATTTAAGGGCTTCATTCATTTTCCAAAGGACCTCTTTCAATCCCTCAATATTCCCTCATGAATAACCTATCTTTCCATCATCCTCATAATTATGAATTCATTTGTTTAATGGTCCAACTCCATGAGCTCCTCATTGATCTAAGATCTTGTACGTGAAGTTCTCCGACATGGTGTTTTGAACTTGATGAACTTTGCAGTTGGTTTGCACTGAACTTATACATCCTGTTGTATCTGACAGTTCTCCAAATGTCCCTGAGACCGAGGGAGAGACACTCGTTAAGTGAGCGAAGGTTATATGAGCTGGCATTAATTTGATACATTTGAAAAGTGGGCAGATTCTAAGTGAATAATTTCATGTTATAATGACATTTGTTTTCTTTTCACATCGTAACTGTGGGAACTACGATAATAAATACTTAGCAAGGAACAGCCTCTTATATCCCCACATCCCAAGCTCATGGGACTGAGATGCTGTAGAACTTGGCAACCTTGGAAAGCACTCGAGTTTCTAAATGACAGTGAGCCCAGCCCCCGTGCCCTTGGCCGTAGGCACAGCTCAGGGCTTTACTGAGCCCCACTCCCAGGAGTGTCCTGGGCTATGGTGGGTGCTGCTCTCAGCTGCTTTCAGTGGCTCCAAACTGTCCTTCCACTCCTCCGCAGGTGACATCTAGCCTTCCCCGAACTGTGTGCTCTGCTGCTCCTAATCACGTGTGGACAATTCCCCCAAAGTGTTACTAACAGTGACTGTAAGGTTTACCCAACAAAAATTTTGCTAATCTACTGAAATCTTGGAGTGTGAAGAAGGGAAGTACAACACAGAGGAAAACACTTGTGTGTGTGTGTGTGTGTGTGTGTGCGCTCAGCCATGTCCGACTCCTTTGTGACCCTGGACTGTAGCCTACCAGGCTCCTCTGTCCGTGGAATTTTCCAGGCAAGAATACTGGAGCAGGTTGCCGTTTCTTCCTCCAGGGACTCTTCCTGACCCAGGGATCGAACCCTTATTGCCTGCATCTCCTTCATTGGCAGGCAGATTCTTTACCACTGAGCCACCTCGAAAGCTAGACTAAGACACATCTGGATTCCAATGTCACTGCCCCCTATCCCCAGGTCACTCCCTTCCCCAGGTTCTATCCCCTTAGCATCTCCACCCCTCAGCCCTGGATCAGTTCTTGCTGTGGTCATCCTTGACCCTGTCCACTTTACTCACAATGATAGTGCCCTTAAGACAGATTCTGATGCAAAATCTAGCTCCCAAATCCTGGGCAACTTTCCTGAACAGCTGCCATGCCCTGCTCCCCAAGTATTCAAGTGTTCCTAGAAAATAAATTAGCAAAAGTTGGGCAAAGACACAGCTCCATCCTCAGAGAACAGATCCTTTTCACATTGAGTTCAGTGCCTCTTGGTTTCAAATCTCTCTAATTAAAAGACACCTCCACCTCCACCAAGATGCAAGCCAGACAGCACAAAAGCCTGCTGGCCTTTCCCCCCATCATGGCTTCAAACCACACATAAGTGTAACTTCACTGGGTCAGAGGTGAGGGTGAATTTCTAGGGGTAACTAAGCAGTGAGAGTGTGCCAGGAGTTCACCATACAGCTGAGGGTCAGAGAGCCCCAGCGGAGCAGCAGAAACTGCAGATTCCAGCCCCCACAAAATCACTTTCCCAAATCAGACTTCTATAACGTGGACCCTGGGCCCTCAGGGTCTCTGAAGGTCCTCCATGTGCTCATGGGGAGATGAGAAAATAGAGAGACTGTCTGTGGGCCTCAATAGCCTCTGCCAGAGTCTATCAGGAGAAGGACCCATGAGGAATCCAGTGAGCTGGAGCCAGGGTGCCCGGATCCTATGGGAGGCCCTTTAGCACAGGATTGCAGAACATGGACTCTGGAGTGAGGCCATCCTGGGCTGAAGTCATAGCTCTTCCACATGCTGGTCAAGAGACCTGATGTTGAGTCTCTTAACTTTTCCATACCTCTGGTTCCTCATCTCTTCCCCAGAGCGAGTGTTAGTGGCTGCCTCTAGGACTCTGTCTGTTCAGCCCAGCCCTTGAGGGCCTTCTTTGGCCTGAGGGACTGTGGAGCTGGGACAGGTTAGACCCCATGCTGAAGGCCACATCAGATCGAGTATCCTTTTATTCTCTGCCCTGACTGACAGGCCCTGGGCCTCCCTGAGTCCTCCAGAAGCCCACAGGCATCCTAAGTAAAGAGTATCTTCCTCTGCAGTGCCCATCAGACAACCCACATGGGGCTTTTCCAGCAGCCGCAGCCTCAGGAGACAGTTAGGTCTTGAGAGTTAGACTGGAGCCTTGGGGGCTGGAGCCTGAGTCGCTCAGAGCAGCATAGGAAGCAAGGGGAAGCAAGGTTGGCCAGGAGGACTGGGCTGGAACCCCTGGTGCCATGTGAATTCCCACTCTGTGAAACAGAGCAGAAAACAGACCATCCTTCTGAGTTTATGGTTCCCTGGGGTCCGGCCCTACTTCTGGTTCCTCAGGCCCCAGCCCCCACTTCTCATTGCTGACACGAGCACTAGCTGAGGCCTTCTCACACAAAAACACAAAAGATCCTGTTTTTCTTTCTGCTCACGCACACATACACACACACACACACACACACACACAAACACACTCCTAAGCACACGAACACTCGTATACATGCCAGACCTAAATACGCTTTCACACACACACAGACTTGGACAGATAGACAGAGAGATATACTGTTTAAGATCCCAAGCAGAAGCTATAATCAAAATGCACAAAGGACTAAAGCCTCCTGACAATGCCCTCTGCTGAGGCTGTGTCCTGAGCAGTGTTTCCTGGGTTGGCCTTTGAACAGGGCAGGGCCGACAGGGATGAGCTGATAGCCAAGAGGCTCTGGCAGGAACAGAAGCTGTGAGGATGCGAGCCCGGGACCTTATGGGATCACAGACTGACAGAGCGGGAAGGGATCTCAGGGCACATCTAAGCGCTTCCTCTAAAGACAGGCAAAATTCTGCCTGGTCTAAGTCGCCTGGGAGCTTGTTAACCCTGGATTCCTCTGCCAACCTACACCTGCTGGACCAAAGTCTCCTGGGGAGGACCTGTGCAGTGGTTGGCAGCTCTGCTTCATGGTCAGGCTGGAGCCTGCCTCCCCCGACTCCCTCAGTTCTGTCCTCACAGCGGCCTGTTGTGGGTAAAGACCCACAGACGCATGAAGGAGGTTTCTGCGTCTTCCTAGAGCCTCTCTGCCTCCAGTTCCTCCAGGCTTTGATGCCATGGCACATTTCAGAGCCTCCTCCAACCCTTCCCCACACATACCAACCTGTCTCTGCCTCACTGTGGGGCACCAGACCTGGCCCCAGGCCCTAGAGGCAGTGTAACCAGGACATCAGCTCTTTCCAAGCCTGTGACCAACAGCCATATTAGCACCTCCACTCACTGGAACTGCATAGCCTCCTCAGAGGGGCCTTACAAACCTCAAAGTACGGAGACATTCATATTAACTATAAGAGCCCAGTTCTCACTGGATCTCACCCCTATCCCCCTCTAGGGGCTTTGGAAGGCCCCAGGGACAGGTCAGTGTGAGCTCATAAGCTAACCACTCCCTTACCCCACTTCTCCATTATCCATAAAGCCACTAATAACAGCTAACCTTGTACTAACTAACAGCTAACTCTTTTCCTTGTTGTTTGGCCACTAAGTTGTGTCTGACTCTTTGCAACCCATGGACTGCAGCACACCAAGCTTCTCTGTCCTTCATTATCTCCTGGAGTCTGCTCGGATTTATGTCCATTGAGCCAGTGATGCTATCCAACCATCTCATTCTCTGCCGCCTCTTCTCTTTGGCCTTACATCTTTCCCAGCATCGGGGTCTTCTCCAATGAATCCACCCTTCGTATCAGGTGACCAAAGTACTGGAGCTTCAACTTCAGCATCAGTCTTTCCAAGGAATATTCAGGGTTGATTTCCTTTAGGGTTGACTGGTTTGATCTCCTTGCTGTCCAAGGGACTCTCAAGAGTTTCTCCAGCACCACAATTCCAAAGCACTGATTCCTTGGCACTCAGTCTTCTTTATGGTCCAGCTTTCATATCCGTACATGACTCCTGGAAAAACCATAGCTTTGACCATATGGACCTTGTTGGGGTTACTACTCTGTTAACTCACTTAACTTTCAAGTCACCTTATGAGGTAGGTATCATCAGTCCCATCTCATAGCTGAGCAAACTGAGGCTCAGAGTAGTTAAGTACCTTCCTCCAGGGTCACACAGCTTGTAAGTGAAAGGCCCAGGATTCGAACCCAGGCAGCCTGGCCCCAGAGCCCACACTCTTAGTCTGTGCCCTGCACTGAGCACTGTCAGCTTTG